ACAGAAAACCAGATCTACTGATGCATGTTTATTCCCTCAAGGAGGGTGATTGAAGCAAAAAGATTAAGTGGGTGCCTTAAGTATTAAAATGCAACACGAAGGACATAGCTCCTTTAAAGACTTGACAATAAACTTGAACTTATCCGTCACACAGATCAGGTGTAAGACCAGGGTGTGTTTCTAAGAGCAGCAACGCTGCTGCTCAAGCACCAGGCCGGCAATATTGTTGCCACTGGCTTAAAAGACTCAGAAAGAGCTTCAGCAAGGGATTTTCAAGCGCATATGAAAGGAAACAGAAAATGGGACATGGGAAACCTGAACGTACTGAAGGCAATTCACTTACCAGGAAATGCTACAAAAATAATCAGCTCGTTCAATGAAAACACAATGCAGAATTAGGTCAGCAACTCTGAAAACATGATCCAGAATGAGGTCAACAGCACAGACCTAGAAACCTCCTTCCGCCCCGACTCCGCGCGTCCTTCCCTCGGTCCCCGCTGGCTGCCTCTCCGCCACCTGCTCCAGGGGGAGGAGCGCAGGCCCGTCCTCCCACGAGAGTGTCCCCGCGTGTAAGCCACGTGGCAGCCTGTACAGAGGCCCGGCCACGGGGCCTTCGGCCTGGAGGTGGCCGTGCGGGCGCAGCTGAAAAGACCCTAAACTGGCTCCGCAAAGAACTTCTGTTGCTCACGGCCGGACCCAGAGTCAGCCCTGGAAACTTCTTCGTGGCTCCGTCACCAGAAAGTCTGCAGAGGAGGGAGAGGAGCAGGCTGCGAAACAGCTCTCCCCATTCCCTTTCAAGACTCCGGGTCCTTAGATGTTTTAAACGACAGCTGCCGGGTGGGCCACGGAGGTGTCCCACCCGGTCCCTGTTAAGACTGGCCCCTCTGCCCTTCTCCTTTGGATTCCAGGGTCCTCTTTCTCCCTTCTCTGCAGGTGCCTGAAGCGCAGATGAATCCGGATACACTGCCACGTATGCCCCAAAGCTTCGGCTGGCCTCTGCTCTGCACCCCCACCCCATTTTCCCACTTGCTTAGTTGAGCTGGGAGTGCTGGAGATGATGTGAGGACACAAACGCACGCTGAAGCGGGAATAACGGACAGGCTTCGGCCCACCCCAACTCTGCGCTCCCTCTCGCCGTGGGCCCAAACCCATCCTCCAGTCCCTGTAGTCTAGGTAACATGCAGAAGGAATCTGGGGGGAGGCTGGGGGGAGAAGTTTGTTTTCCTGTTTACCCATCGATCACAACACTTGCTAGCCTCAGAAAAAGGCAAGGAAGCAGCCGGGTGACAACTCGGAACTTCTTCAAGGGCAGGACAACTGTACCCTGGCTCTGCTTTCTTCCACCCCCACCCGGGAGGGCAGGCCCAGGCCCCCTTGTGCCATCTCCCCTCCAGTTTTCTAATTTTAACAAAGAAAGGAAATTCTAACACGTGTTACAACATGGATGAACCTTGAGCACATCATGCTAAATAAAAGCAGCCAGGTACCAAAGGACAAATACTTATGAATCCACTTGCATGAGGTGCCTAGAATAGGCAAATCCACTGAGACGGAAACCAGAACAGAGGTTCCCAGGGGCTTGGGCGAGGGGGAACGTGGGGAGTTTCCATGTGAAACGATGAAAAAGTTCTAGAAAAAAGGCAGACCTCAGAGATATTGCAGGTTTGGTTCCATAAAGCAAGTCAAACATTTTTTTTGCTGGTGGATGGTCTTGCCTTCAATTTGTAAAAACTGTGGCATCTGTGACACGCAATAGAGAGAAATGCAATAAAACGAGGTATGCCTGCAGACAGTGGTGATGGTTACGTGACATTGGGAATAGACTAAAGCCACTGAATTGTACACTTAAAAACGGCCAGTTTTATGTTATATATATTTAACCACAATTTAAAAACATACAACAAAACAAAAACAAAAAAGAAAAAAATACAACCTCACACATAGCCCCCCCAACCCCCCACCTCCTCCATCCCACACTGACACCAGTTTTAGTCCTGGCACTTCAGTGCCTGTCTGTCTTCTCTGGTTACGGTTCCACCCAAGGAGGTCTGGCTCCCAGAGCAGAGGGACAGAAGCTCGACGGTCCTGATCTGCTGTTACAGGACAGCTGTGGAGGGTGGTCCTTGCGTTTTACCTGTGTCTCAGGAAGCGGGTGGACCCCATTCTTGTTACCCTGGCTCTCCCATGCTACCCCTGAGCCAAACTCCCAAGGGTTGGTCAGCGGGTGGCTGTGAATCCATATTCACTATTTGCAGGTAAGCCTTGGTGTGACACAGCCAAATCCATTCCCCGCCTTGAGTGGACTCCTCTGGACCCTTGGGAGCTGGGTAGATGCATCAGATTATTGAGCGAGCCGCTGGGAAGAGATACGGCCTTCTCTACCATGTGCTTAGTGTCTCTGCAACACAAGCTATTCATTCATTAGATATTATTCAAATGATTATGCCTTGCAGCTGTGTTGTACAGCTTGGTGACTGAAGACAAACTTCTATGCGCCAGTGTGTGACCCTGGGCAGTCTCTTCAACGCCCAGTGCCTCAGGCTCCTCACCCATAATGTGGAGATCATACTCATGCTTATCTCATACGGCTCCGATGGACACTAAATGTGTTGCACAGAAAAGGTTCAGGAAAAATACTTAACACATATTGAGCGCTCAAAGTAAAGTGTTGTTCCTGTTGTTACCTGAGTCAATCTAACACCCTCAGTCTTCACTGCTCATTGCTGACGTGTGTGACAGTTTTTATTCCCAATGTTTGACACTCTTGTCCCACAAAAATCAAGGAGTGGGGTGCAAGAAGGTGGCTTTACTTTTTATTTTATAACTCTCTCTACAGTGTTTTCACCACTTGTACTACAGTGGCCAAAATACCAGCCAGCCATCTGGCACATGCTCATCCAACCGAGTTCTCCGCCTCATTAGAATTCTCAAGAAAGACGCTTTTTTAAAAAAACTAGGATCCAAAACTGTAAGCAGAAGGGAACAGAGATGAGGGGCAACATTTGAAACTCTGGTCCAGCTATTCCTGTCTCTACCCCTTTGACTTCCCAATTATGTAAACCACAAATTCCCTTTTTTGCATAGGCCAGTTTGAGGGGGGTTTCAGTCACTTGCAACTAAGATAGTCTTCACTGATAATCTTGAAAATGACATCATTAAAACAGTAGTGGAGTCCTGGCTGGGTAGCCCAGTCGCTTAGATCATCGCTCCTATGCACCAAAGTTGCTGGTTCCATCCCCGGTCAGGACAAATACAAGAATCAGCCAATCAATGCATAAAGAAGTGGAACAACAAATCGATGTTTCTCTCCCTCTCTCCCTCTCCATCTCTCTAAAATCAATAAATAAAAATTTTTTTTAAAATAGTGGAAATATTGATATCCATTTGATCTCTCTATTCCTCCAGTGTTGTTTCTGACATACTTTTAATGAAGAAGAATAAAATTAATTTCCAGCTAAATGACTGAGGAAATTATTGCACTCTCTAAATAATGAAGATTCTCTAAGGAACAACAGAAGCAGGGCTCGCTGTCTAGAATTCAAGCCAGCCTATTCATCAAAGACTTTAAGTAGCGCTGAAAGGACTGAGAGGTCCATCTCTTACAGGCACTTCTGCCATTCCCCAACACGACCCTCCCCTCGACCCCACTGCCCAAGGGTGGGGTTCATGCTCCTTCCGCTCACACCTGGGAATGCTGTCCACCTGGGGAACCTTGTCTTCCCTTGAAAGGCATTAGGCACTGCATCCTCAGTGAGGTCTTCTCCTGTCCACCCATAGCCTGAACTCCTGAGCTCCGTGGCACTCCTCTGAGCATTTATGACTTTATCATGGCTTATTTCTATGCCTGTTTTACCTGCTAGTCCTTAAAATGCTTGAGGGAAGAAACTCCCACAATCATTTCACCAAATGCAGCACCTGGCACAAACTAGGCACTCGATACAGGGTTGATGAATAACAGATGGGCTGAATCTTCTGACACAGATCTCTTTAGGCTTCCACTTGGGGGTCTCCTTGCAGACTTGACTAGTTGTGAAACCCCCTGCCCAAGTTCCCTAGAGTGAGGCCCATCTGGACCTCTGCCTTACCCTGCTTTTTGGTTTGGCTTCTGTGTCCTTTCTTCCCCTTCTCTGCCTGCTGTTCTCAAGACTCAGTTCAGACATTATGGGTCATGAAGAAATTATCAAGATATGGAAGTTCCCTTTGGGATCTCCTTAATTTTTATTTCACCATCACAGATGGGGAACTATGAAGTGTGGAGAAACTTTCAAGATGTAAAATAAGAGTTACTAACTGCAGTGAATGGATACTTGAAGTATGAACACACAGAGGTATACCTGCAGACACAAGACATGCAAATCCATGTACACAGGTGCACACACAGACACATAGTCACACAAAGGCATGCAAAAGGTGCCTGAAAATCTTACAGATTTAGAAATATGCTAAGAATCACTTTTTGTGTGTGTATATAAGACAGGAGTTGTATAATTCCACCAACCAAATTATTTTCCTTCCAACAGAGATGAATGTGCTAACATTTTATTTTTCCATGTAAAACGTACACCATTCAGAAATATATTTGTTTTATAAGGAAAAGTCAGTTAACAATGTCAGAGCATCTTCGGGAGTTAAAAAACTGTGTAGCAACAATATTAAATCAAACACCAGATCACTAAACACTCTGGCCTCAATTATATGAAGGCAGATGGGGCTTATATCTATCTGGCAAATGTTTTTCTCATTTGTTTTCATAACATCAGAAATAGACTAATTAGACTTGATTTAAAATCTCAAGTGATTTTTGGCCTCTCACTTTTTATCTAGGCTGAATCCCAATCAGAAAGTCAATGAAATATAAACATTTGGCCACCATTTTTGCTTCAAGAAAAGTTTGAGGTTCGGCAGCAGTGTCTATATGAGTATTTTCTAGCAGTTCACAAAAGCTATCTGTTTCTAACACAAAACAAGTCACTATAAAGAACTTGATGGGTCTCACCTACCTGTCCTCTTTCTCCTGATCCAGTTGTCACAGTGTCCCAGGCTTCACTGTCTGAGTTGAAGGTAATTTCTAGACATGACACCTATATGCAAATATAAATTGAAGACTAATCAAAGTTAAGTATAAAACTCAGGATTATAGAATTTCAGACTTAAAAAAGATTTATCAGTCGTTTAGTTCAGTCCCAACACTTTATTAACAAACATACACAGAACGATTGTAAAGTTTGCCCAAAGTCACAGAGGTGGGGACAGAACCACTGGCCCTACATCAGATGTCAGGTCAAACATTTTCTTCCACTGTTCATACTGTTTCCCTAAAGACTAGAGTACTTGCCTTAATAATCCACTCTCACTTGTCAACACTTATGATAAGAACAGTGGGTGCCACATGTAAAACAATATTAGGCTCATCTCAAAAGAATGATACTGTAGTTATTTTAATTGGCTGTATACCACTCCTTCTCCACCATCCCCCCAAGAAAAAATATAAGCTCTCAGTTAATAAGAGCAAATTGTGACCCAATCTTTAACCTTAAGGCATGCCTGATTTTTTTTTTTATGTAAAACAAAAATTGGATTTTGGGTGGTGAACACACAATATACAGATGATGTATTATAGAATTGTACTCCTGAAACCTATATAGTTTTATTAACCAATGTCACCCCAATAAGTTCAATTAAAAAATAGGATTATCATAACCTTTAGCATGGGTGTGGCAGGGGGATGGGAGGGGGTGGAAACACACCAAAACATTTGTATTAATTCTTTTCATGTCCTTGGAATATCAAAATCACCTGATATCCATTCACTGTTTTATTATTAAAGGTTTGTAAACTATTCACTATTGAAATTTATTAACATCAATTTGGTACTAAAGGTGTTACCTTGTGTAAATTAAAGCAGGATTCTTACAGTCTAAAGCGCCCTCTGGTGTTCCCATGTAAAAAGTTCTTTTCAGATAATGTGCCGTCCTTTCTAATAATAGCTAGGGTTGGTTTTTGGCCTGGACAGTCGAGTTTGGTTTAACATTTGCCATCTTGTTTGGTTTAACATTTACCTTGACACAGCAAACCCTTGATTTTGCAGACCTTGATTTAACGACAAAATTTCCAGTCTGTATGTCTTATGTGAAAATTAACATCCTGTTAATTTTAAAACACTTTTAATCAAGGTTGGCTTATAATTAAATTAACAGGTGTTTGTTGTTGTTGTTGTTATTAATGCACTGATATTTTTAACAAATTTTAGCAAATAGGCCATATGTTGGAAAAGACACTGTAGTAATTTTGCCAACATAAATAAATATTACATATCTACAACTATAGTCTACATATTTAAATCCAAGGGTCACGGCTCATAAACAATGTTCAGCAAATGATTAGCATGTGGTCACACTGCCTCTCACAGTAATTGGTGCTGTCGTCACTGTTGTCTCATGGCGTGACTTTCTGCAGCAGTTTTAACACAGGCCGGCTGACGTTCCGACGTGCACTAAGCCACACCCCAGCAGTGTAGCATTTGTGTACTCAGGGTAACTGGTGAGTGCATGCATTTATTAGACCTATTCAGTATAAATGTAAAATTATAGTAATACATATAGAAAACTTTTCTGTGAAATTAAACTTTTCATGCATACTTAATTTTAAATACACAAACGTGTCTACCTAAGTAAAAACAGGTAAACTAATTTTTCAATTTTTTAACCTACGCAGTCAGAAAACCTACTTTATTATATAATGACTTTCACCTTTACCAGACACCCCCTCACCTGAATTAGTCCATTATATCAAGGTTTAACTATATTTTCAATTTATATAGTAAATATCTGTTAATGAAGACTTAAAAGAAGCTGAGATGGGTTGAGCAGCCCTCCACTTTGTATTTCCAAGCTTCTGCCATAGTTTTGTCCAATACTATGTGAAGCACATGAGCAGCGCTATGGACTGAATGTGTACCCCCTAAAAGGTATGTGTTGAAGCCCTAATTCCCAATGTGGTGGTATCTGGAGGTGGGGCTTTGGAGAAGTAATTAGGTTTAGATGAGGTCATGAGGATGGAGCCCTCACAATGGGATTAGTGCCGTTTTATAAGAGGAAGAAACCAGGGCCCCACCCCCACCCCACACACACATTAAGGAAAGGCCATGTGGGGACACAAGACGACAGCCATCTGCAAACCAGGAAACAGGCTCTCACCAGACACCAAATCAACTAGCTCTTGATCTTGAACTTCCAGACTCCAGAACTGTGAGAAATATCTGTTGTTTAAGCCACTCAGTCTACTTTGTTTCAGCATCCTGAGCTAAGACAAGCAGCAAACAGATGTTGCACTAACAAAGGATAACCAGCAATGACCCATTTCTATTTTCCCCAATCCTTTCCAAACACAATGGAACTACCATTTCCTTTCCAGGACAGCAGGGCATTTGCTTACAAAAGAAAATGCACCCAAACAGGAGCTGTCAGGACAGGGAACCCCTCCGGCCTCTGCGAGAACACCCTGATGCCGGTGCCCTTGAGTTTACCAGCGAGGCGTGCCATGCCCATGATCAGGCCTGCAGGATATAGGGAACTGCAAAGGCACAGCTGGTGGGGTCAGTGGGAAAGATGGGTTAGGGTGTTCAAAATATTTTCAGGGAAAAGAGGCCAAGAGTGATGCCTTAGAAGCATATGGAGGTCAATCTGGACACTTGGTCATTTCTTGTATGATGTAAAACTACAACGACTGTGTTATTTCACGATGCCTTGTTATTTTTCAATAAGCTCAAATATTAAGTGCTGAATTTCTGATTCTCAAGTAAGTTGATGAATGTGAAGTTGCACAAAAGGTCAGCATTTGCCAGCCCTCACAGCCATGAGGGACAAAGCGATATCAATAACCGAGTGAAAACCCCAAAACGCAAATCTGCTGAAGAAGCATGAAAGCGGACATCAAAGTGAATAGCTATTTTGAGAACCCTGTACTTGAAGTTTATGATTTATCACATGCAGCTGCAGAGGTGCTTACATAACATTTACAGCCAGTGACTGTTCTTCTAAACTGACTTTGCCAATATATATTTTTTTTCACATAAAAGTTCTTAGTTAATCCTCTCATGAAAAACCTGCACAATCACCCCATAAAGTCACTGAAGAATTTTTATCCCTCTGTTGTCCAGTCTCCAGCTCACTTTTGCCAGCACCAACACTGGCCTTGCAGCCCCCTGACTTTCTTTGCTCTGTCCTGTGCTCTGTCCTTTCGTTGTTTCATGAGGTCTTCTCATGCAGGCCGCGTCTTGTAGGTCTATGTTTGGGTTCATTTTTCTTTGCATAATCCAAGGAATCATAAATCATGCCAAAGCCACTTGTCTTGACTCTATCAAAATGGATTCTGAATCCAGATACAAAGATGACATCTGCTGTGGTCTTACCCATTTTGGCTAGTGTTTCCCGAATTTCTGTCTTAGGTATTGTTGCCTTCCTGGGGTGAAGGACATCAATGACCATTTGTTTCTGCTGAAGTAGACTGTTGGTCATGAACTTCCTGGTCTGGCTAGTTACTGTGTTATTCATGATGAAGGCCAATCTTCAAGCAACCAGGGAAGAAAACAACAACCTTGTCAATTTTTTATTTCAAGTTTTTGTGTTCAGCACAAAAAGTGAAGCAAAAGCTATAATGTGTTTGGTAATGAAAACAGAAGGATTTTTATAAACAGTTCAGTGTTGCTAATTTCATGGTAGTGTTATCAAAGCTTCACCTAGAAAAGTCAATTGCAAAAGTGCTTTCATTTTTTTAAACTAATTCATGAAATCAAAGCAATGCTTCTAGAAATGTAGTCTGTTTAAGATGAAACACCTGACATTATTGTGAGTCTTCTCATAAATTTGGTTTAAAAGTTCAATAGGAACTATAAAAGCATTTGTGATAATACTGCATAATTTTGGTGGAACACTGTGTCCGTGGTAAAAAAAAAAAAAAAAAGTGTTACTAATTTAAGATGTCTAATTTTAAAATTAAGATATGAAGCAGGAATGTAATTGGAATTGGTTAAAGTATAAACGTAAGTCATAATTTCACTCAAAGAAGTTTCATTATACCAACTGAAATAAAAGCTGTTATTTATTAAAATTTACAGGTTTTGAATATGCCAAGTATTAAAGTACAACATTTTTGTAATGAAGCTGATATTTAATTAAAAAACAAAAACACATCAGCATGGCCACATTAGACTGCTCTCTTAGCTGCCCATCCTTAATTGAAACTACTGAGTAAATCACTGGGTCCTATCAATGGTATTGAACTTTTTCACAAATGAGTCCTCTAGATTTGGGGTGCCTTTTTTCAATAGCAGTTAGGAAAAATAATTTTACTGATGCTTTTCTCCAGCAGGTAGAAATCATAGCAGCATCATGCAATACAGGAAGCTGTTGCTAAGCAACCATTTTGGTGTTTAAAAAAACCCAAACCTTCCTTTTAAATGTCTGCAGCATGTGAAAAATTAGATAAACTCTCCCTACAACTTTAAGCAAACTCATACAACTTATAAAAATTATGTCATCCTTTTTTCCCAATAGCAGTTAGAAATTTTAAACAAAAAATTCAAGGAGCACCAGAAATCTTCAGCTTCTGAGGCTTTTGGAGAATTACAATTATTGAGAAACAGGAAGGAAGACACTGAAATATCCCAATCCTAGCAGAGTGAATAAATTAAATGATGGGCACTCAAGTCATGTCCAAGGTTTAATACTGAAATTCCATAATTGTTCTTTGGAATATATCCACTTGTGGGTAGAAACTTTTATAATGTCCAATGGGATGGAATAAAATTTAGGAGCGCCTTTGATTTTGTAGCATCCAGTTGGGGAAACATCAAAAGAATCACATCTGGTGGTAATTTGTTTGATGAATTTTGTCTTCTAGAAATATTTGTCAAGGAAAGGTACTCTGAATGGAGGCAAAACAAAACAAAACAGTATCAAGGATTATATTTTAGCTGATTACTTATACATTTTAATACAAAAATATTATAATTGAGAATATTCTCCATTTCACAGAATTCACTCAGTTTTCACTCAGTTCTTGTAGAAAGATTATGTTTCTCAAGTAAAAATATTATGGTTTACAGAGAAGAGTTCATTGAAAGTGTCAATTTCAATTTTCTTACCATAAAATACAACTTCTAAAACAATTGTAGACATTACAAAAAATCAAAAATAATGTCCATACAATAAAACTAATTTTTCAGTAACTATATAAATTTTTAAATTATATAATATATAATATACATACATGATATATATTATAATATACTTTATATTATAATATATTTATATATGTTATAATATAAATAATATATTATAGTATATAATATAAAATATGTAACATATAATATGTATTATTTCAGTACTTTCTTTCCTTTTTGAAAGTGTACTGGTTTGGACAAACAGCTACCATTTACCAAGAGTTTACTATCTATCAGATACTGTGCTCAAATTGCTTTATCAATTTAATCTTGACACATACACTGAAGGGTAGGAATTACTATCTTCATTTTATCTG